ATGAAGGCCTGAGGGTGTGACAGTGAGAGAACTGGTCCTGCCCACCTAGTCTGCCATGTGGTGGCATGGGAGCTGGAAAGATGCCCTCCCCACCCCTCACCCCTGGCCACTTGTGGCAGGCAGGAGAGCTGCCCAGCCCCTCACCAACTGCAGCTCTCAGAAGAGCGGGTCACGCACCTCGCATGGGCATCACAGTGGAGCTGGCACTGTTAGCTGAAGCACGAGTGAGCGGGCCCTGAGAGTTGGGGTGAGCATCTGGCCCTACGCATCTATCATGCAGCGGCATGAGCAGGGAGAGATGCCTCCCCCTAGATGCCTGCAACAGGCAGGAGAACTGACCCCTGGGCCATGAGAGTACAAGAGCTGGCCCTGCCCCTCCCTGCCTGCAACACTCAGGAGAGCAGGCCACTGCTCTAACTTGGGCAGCACAATAGAGCTGCCCCTGTTGACAGGGACACGGGTGAGCCAGCCGGGAGAACGTGAGCATGAGAGATCTGGCTCCACTCTTCACCTGCCATAGGTGGCATGGGTGAGGTAGAGAAGCCTTCCTGAGGTCAGGAGAGTGAGAAAGCTGGCCCTGCCTCTCACCAGCTGCAGCACTCAGAAGAATGCCCCTGCACCTTCACTGGGCAACTCAGTAGAGCCAGCCCTGGTGGCATAGGTGTGGGTGAGTCAGCCTCAAAGAGTGTGAGAGCAGAAGAACCAGCTCTATTCCTTCCTGATGCCGCCACCGCTGCTGCATAGGGTAAGCTAACAGGTGCTGGAGAGCTCACCCTGGTGGTGAGGATGAGGGAAAGCTAGCAAACTGACCAACCCAGCAACCATCCAAACCCTCACTCACCTATGATCTGCTGGAACACTTGGAGGGACACTGGGGACTGCTGGCTACTGAGCTAACTCCAGGTTCAGTAAGAGACACTTCATATCCTGTTCTGGCTTCCATGGGCACACACACACAACACACACAGACACACACACAAAACCACACACAAGCACACCACACACACACACACACACACACACACACACACACACGCCCATACACCATACACCAGTAAGTTAACTTAAAATAAATAGTGCTACTATAAACCAATAGATTTGAAACAAAACAACCCATACATTTATATAAGTGAATAAATGGCATGAAAAAAACAGTCTCTAACCAGTGAGAGAACAAAATAAAAATAATGACAATGGTGAAAGAGCATTTGCCTAACACACACAGGGACCTGGGTTCAATCCCAAGTAACACACAGAGTGGAGGACATCATTCAACCTGCCCTTTGTAAAATATGTGGCTTCATTCTGCTGTCACGATTTTACACTTCCTCCCACCACCAAAATGCATGAGGCTTGACCTCCTAGTAAAGTCAAATGATGTTGTTTACCAGTTCATTCCTGCTCCAAGGGCTCCTGGGATCATCAGAACCAATATCTGTTAACTTACACACCATCTGGTATCATACCTCTAAGGCTTCAAAAACTATTTTGGCCCAATAATTGTCTCCCAAGAACTTGTCTTCACGATACCTTGAAGTACTGGCAATTACATTTAATTATTACAGCAATTACAATGCAGAAATCTTGCATGCAATATAAATCCCTCAAATAAAGGCATGATTAAAGTGGTATGTAAAAGAAATATTAATGTCCATGACATACGTCCTCCAGCATGCCCAGTCTTGTCTTATAAAGTAATATTAGGAGCCAGAGAGATAGCTCAGTGGCTAAAAGCAATTGCTGCTCTTGCAGAAAACACAGGTTTGGTTTCTAGCACCCACAAGACACTCACAACCATCTGTAACTCCAGTTCCAGAAGACCCAATGCCCTCTTCTTGTCACCTCATATGCCAGGCTCTTAGATGCGTGCAGACAAAAATTTTACACACATACAATTAAAAATAATATTGACATTTCATAATTATTATATTAGAGTCATATTTAATGTAATAGAATAATACATGAAACAAATGATATAAAAACAAGGGTGTACATAGACTTAGTAAGATGCAAAGATGTAAAAATAGGTTTATGAAGATAAAAATGTGGGGCTGAAGACCAGTGGCTCTAGCATAGGACTGGAACTCAGTTCCCAGCACCCACAATAAGAGGATCACAGCCCAATGTAACGCTAGTTCCAGGGTGTGTGATGCCCTCTTCTGATCTCCATAGGCAACTGCATGCACGTGCATATTCCCAGGCACAGATACACATATACACACAAAACTGAAAATAAAATAAATCTTTTTAAATGGTTAAAAAAAGGAAACTAATTAATACATGCTCTGATTTCATCTAGATTTCAACTATAAAAATAACCGAAGCATTTTTAAATTCTGATAAACAATCCAAGACACAAAGTTCTTTTTTGTTTGTTTTATTGTTTTTTTCCAATATATTTTTTTATTTAAATTAGAAACATGTTTGCTTCACATGTCAATCCCACCCCTCCTCCCTTACCCCTCCACCAGCCCCTGTAGCCCCCCACCTAATCAGATCTCCAGAATCTGTCATTTCATCCATGGCAGGACCTAGGCCCTCCCCCCATGCAAGACACAAAGTTTAAAAAAAATAAGAAGCAACCACCTAAAATCCAGTGTTTCCACATATTATTATATGGGTAAAATTCCATACATTTTTGTAATTAAAATTTTATGTTTATGTATATACGTGCACATAACCAAGTAGAGATGATTATAACTCCTTTAAAACTAAATGTGGTTTGTATAATTAGAGTTTAATGAAAAAGTAAGTGAATAGAAGTAAATTTTGAACTGTAGAGAACAGGTTATTTTAATTCCAAAATGTCTTCTCTCTCAAGGGGGAAAGTGTGACATCATTAAGAAGGTGTGGTTTGGGCTGAGAGACAGCACAAAGCTAAGAGACAGAGCTGCTCTTGCATAAGCCCTGGGCTCAGTTCCCAGACCTATGTTGGGTGGCTGTAATTCCAGCTCCAGGGGTCTGCTGCCCTCTTTTGTCCTCTGAGGTCACCTGAATACACATGTACAAACACACACACAGATACAGAGGCACATAATTAAATACAAAATAAATCTTGTCTTTAAAGAGATTCTATGTTCATTGTTTTTATACTACCATGATTTCATTTTGGATATAACATCATTTGAGTCTCATAAAAATGTCAGAATTCATATTCTTCTACTCTTTACCTTCCCCTATTTGTTCCATTATTTCCACACTGTCAAGATATATAACATTTCTATTCTAATTCATAATCACAATTTCCACAGTTACTTAGTCTTCATCCCATATTCACTCTCAGCAGCTGTCTCTGGGCTCCCCCACAGCTGTTTTCCTGTTTTCACTTTATGACTAGGTGTTTGGGTTTTACCAACAGTGCTCACAAACGTGATTGTTCTCAATTCTACATACTGGCATTAATGAGGTTGTGTGTTTACCAGTGGACAACCTGGCTGAATTCTAAATTTGCTTCATGCTGCATTATGTAACCACAAGCCCAAATCTTGCTTTCCTGATTCCCCATGGTGCCTACCTGACTACTGAGCATATTGTCTATCCCTTCAAACAGAGTACACCTTGCTGTCACTGAGTCAGTACCTAGGTAGAGGTGTGTACCAACAAGGACATGGTGCGTGTATTAGACTGTGGAAGGGAAGCATGGCTTCTAGTCCTACCCCTATCACAGTTACCACTCTGTGATTCAGCTTACTCCAATAAGCGTCTTGCTAATGGTGGGTTTTTTTTAGTGATAAAAACTTTATTTACTATTTATAAATACATTGTAAGACAAACTTTTCAAAAATATACTTTCCCCCAATAACTTAATTAAAAAATAAAGAAATGCTGATAGGCAGGCAGAATGTCTTGAGATTCCTTTGTGCTTTCAAGACAAGCTCTGTACAACGCATGCCCACCCTGTGGGATGCAGTGCAGTCTCCTCAGAACCCTCTGTTGCCAGACCTCCTTGGCCTTGGCCTTGGCCTTGGGGAGAGCAGCCCAGCCTCCAAACACGGCTCCTACCCTCAGGCGTGCCCGTGGTTACATCACCTAACATCTCTAACATTTCACCTAGGATTATCTTGTACAGATTCTACTATACTTGGGCTATGTCATCTACACTGTTAACAACTATGGATGTATTTTGTCTGCATATATGCGTGAATCATAAAGAAAGTCTGAGAAGCACCTCAAGATCAACAAATGGGTGATTCTCTAGGTGGTCTTTCCAGGCTATCCAACAAGTCCTTCCTCTTTCCTGCTTAGACAGGAAGGAGGGGAAGATGAAAATAAAACCTTTGGTTTTTTTTTCCTTAAAAAAAAAGCTTGTCCCCATCCCACAATAAATTTGTTGGACAAGAAAACATTGTTTTTTTTTTAAATCATCCGCAGAACTAACTGTACCATTATCTATGACATCTCTGAACCTGGAGGCTGATGTTTACTGTTCCCCCAGCCTGGGGCCATCCGCTGAGCCAAGCCATCAGGAAGCTACCTGACAAAGGAAGGTCCTTGTCCTTGTTTTTATGGGCTCCCAGAGTGCTTTAGAACATTCTTGGTCATGTTAAATAAGAGAGACTTGACCTATCCCCACGGCTCCCAAGTAGACCAGGTCACTTGCAGATAATGGGCCAGGCTCTTAATTCAGGGATGACACCATAAGGGCCATGAGCCTCAGGAGTATGTGTCCAGACTTGGTGACTTGGTTAGGGCTTTCCCCATTCTCCACAGTGCCGGCACTCATTTGCAGGGAATGGAAAGAGGATTTTTCCATATCAGCAACAGAACCTCTGAAGTCAAGAAGGCAGAAGACCAGCAGCATTGGAGCCCCCACACCACATCGGGTGGGTGGGTTAGGGGGAGAAGGCATCCGTGGCCTGGAGTACATGAGTGTTTTCATAGGAAGCAACAGGGAAATTCAAACTGCTTTTTGTTGACTACTGGAGAGTAGAAAGATGATCAACTTTACTACTTAAACAACCAGAGGCATTTTGAAAATCTGTCTAAACTTTGGCTTTTTGTTTTGTTTTTAATCAGTTCACCACAAAAAAAAGGAAATATAAGTCAAGGCTGTAGCCAGCTGCTGCTGATGTTGGCAGTCTTTTGTGCAAAATAAGGCGTATTTGAGCTCCACGTCAAGTGGCACATTGGCATCTACTGGCTCTGCACACTGAGGCAGTGTACATCATCTTCCCCCTTGGTGTCATAGCCAGGCAAGGGCTGTCCGTACTTGTCCACACACCAGCAGAAGACCCACTTTCTGCCTTTGGATAGACAGGCAAGGGCTGTCCGTGCTTGTCCACACACCAGCAGAAGACCCACTTTCTGCCTTTGGATGGGCGGCACTGCTTCTTCTTATAGAACCCCTTCTTGTCACAGTTTGGGATGTGGATACCTCTGGGACTCAAAACCTTGAGGAACTTCAGATGATTTAGTGTGTCTTCCATTTCTCTGTGGCAGAGACTGTATTCTGTCTCCCGCTTAGACTCAGAGAAGTTTTGGGTGTCTGTGCTCTGTGACTCGTAGTCAACTTTGTAACGCTGGCTGTCCCTGGCGGGGCCTTTTTTGATGACATCCATCTTTGCATGGAGTGAATGGAACTTGGAATCGGTCACTCGGTGTGTGCTGGGGACAACCTGGCTTTCCACACTCCAGCACTGTGGTCCTCCTCAGACTCACTGATGTTTCCGGGAGCCGGTTGGGAGGGCAGGTAGGCGTTCAGGCTGCCGGTGGCGGTGGCGCTGGCGCTGGCGCAGAATCCAAGGCCATTGAGCAGTGCTTTCGGCGGGTACTGCTCTGTGGGCCGTGGCTGGCAGCGGAGACCGGTGTAGCAGCGCTCAGTGTAGATGCCCTAATGGTGGATTTTTATACTGCAGATCTCATAAATGGACATAGTGTTACATGCAAGAGACAGAGGTAGGATAGTCAGGAGCTCAAGGTCATCCTGTTAGGTGGATCATTTGAGATGGGCCTGGGGTATGTGTAAATAAATAAATGTCTGCTGAGAGTTACTTTTGGGAGGAAGGCCACTAGTAGGTTGCCCATGCCCCAGAAGATGGCTTATACCCATAGGTTTATCAGCCATGTTAATTGAACTCAGTGAGTTACATTTTTTAAATCACATGGAGTTGGGAAGATGACATATAAGTGTGTTTACATACGTGTGTGTGTGTGTGTGTGTGTGTGTGTGTAATTCTCAAACAACAAATTTAATACATTTTTTAAATACCAGAACTGGAGACACTTAAATATCTGGGAAGTGGCTAATGTACTTCTAAGTGACCCCTGGAAATTATCCATATATATTAAGTCAGGACAAGCACTTTAATTAAGATTAAAGACTCAACATGTCAAAATGACAGGATATCACCAAGGCAGTACCAAATATCAGAAATAGAAACAAAACTCATCTTTGCCTCCACCATCAGAACTAGGAAATGAAGACAAGAGTAGAAAACAACAGAGAAAAATGAAGGAGACTAGAACAGGTTCCATAGTAAAACCAATACAATTGATAGCAATTAGTCAGATTGATCAAAATAGAGAGAGAAGACAAGGCATGCTGGGTGGCACACACCTATAATCCTAGGACTTAGGAGTTGTGACTTCCACAGCCAGTACTACTGTCCTAATTTAATTCTGTCACTGTGATAAAAAATTCCCCAACATACATACAGTGTGCCTCATGAATGTAAGGGCGAAAATTCTATACTCTGCCAAGTCTAAGTCAACTACATGTGAAGAGATAATCTATCAACATGAATGAGCCACTTGAGCCCCACTTAATATGCAGTGAAAAGAAGCACAGATACGGTGCGTGTGTGTGTGTGTGTGTGTGTGTGTGTGTGTGTGAGAGAGAGAGAGAGAGAGAGAGAGAGAGAGAGAAAGAGAGAGAGAGAGGTGGCATGAACCCAGTAATAAAATTACAATTCATACATGTGCCATAGAAGCAGAGGGAGGATTTCCCTGGGGGGGGAGAGGAAGAGATGAGGGAGAGAGGGGCAGGGGGATGGAGCAGGTTAGTGCATGCAGGAAGTGGGGGGATGATAAAACCTAGAAACAGAAAAGAGGGTTAAAAACAGGTGCTGAGGAAGTACGGACTCGGTTAAAGTACACACGTGATGTGACAGGACAGATCCTGGAGGGAAGATTAGGGTTTCAGTAGGCAGGGTAGATGGAGGAGGAGACTCCACTAAAACACATCACTCAAAAATGCTTTCAATGTCTTTGGGACATTCTTGAAAATTTCTAGACTCTTCTAGCTATGTGTTGGTCAGTGACAAAGGACAGGAGCCTAAGGTAGAAACAAAATAAGAAGGCAGGACTGGGAAGGCAACTCGGCAGGTAAATGTTTGTCTTGCAAAGGCAAGGAGCTAAGTTTGATCCTCAGAACACAGTCTTAAAAGGCCAGCCTTGGAACCTGCATAAGACGAAACTAGACTCCCTTAATATAGGTGACAATGGTGTGGCTGGGACAATATATGAGGCCATTGGCAGTGGGTTCAAGATCTAACCCTAATGCACAGACTGACTTAGTGGGGCCCATTCTATATGGAGAGATACCTTGTTCAGCCTAGACACAGGGGTGTAGGGGGTGGAGAGATGCCTTGGTCCTGCCTCAAGGAGATTTAGTAGACTTCCTAAGGAAGGCCTTACCCTCTCTGATGAGTAGATGGGAGGTAGTGAGGAGGGGTAAGTGGGGAGAGCAGGAACTGGGATTGGAATGTAAAAAATAAATTAGTAAAAAAAATTAAAAGTCAGGCTTAGGTTGCCTACCTGCAATCCCAGTACTGTGAGGTGACAGAAGGATTCTGCGGCCATTGTCAGGCAGCCTAGACTACTTGAAGAGTTCCAGGCCAGTGACAGACCTGTCTCAAAAACCCTAATTGGACAGTTCCTGAGGAACAACACCTGTCCTTTGGCACACATACACAGAGGGGAGAGTATTCAGCACTCTCAACACAGAGTTTAACACACACACACACACACAACACAAAACACAATAAAATATGCTGTGAGTGGGTTCATATAGGTTTTTCCCATTAGTCCAAACAAAGCACAAGAAAGTTTCAAGCCAGGCTTACTAGATGGTTCAGTAGGTATTTACAGCAAGCCTAAGGATCTGAGTTCCAACCCCCCTCAAAAAACAACTTTTACAAGTTGTCCTCGGGTTTATACACACAAATAAATGTAATATTTTTTAATTCCCAGGCACCAAATAAACTTCTTTTGCTACTACTATGTTGTTCATTTATCCAAGGCATGTTCATGAACAATCTCTCCCAGCAGGTGACACCCCTGTGCTGAACAGAGATAATCAATCAATGGCTAGCTGTGCTGGAAGCAGAATGACAGATTGCTGAGGGACAAAGGGTACCCATCAAGGGACAGAGAGTCAGAGGAGGGGGCTTGGGAACCACCTCGGTTAGGAGAGATGGCCCCACCCCCAATAGCTCATCTCCAGGGTCACTGCTTGTTACCATAACCCCCACTTCAAACACAGAGTTCACAGTCTGGGCATCTCCATCCATCTTTCTATTGACACTTGGCATCACAAATCTTCCTTTCACCTCTCAAAAGGGTCTCGGTGGAACCGGAGCACCCATCCCCAGCCTCTTCCTGCCTCCTGCCTCTTCTGCGCTATTCTTCCCTGAGAGTTGACAATAGCAAGCCAACCCACATGGCAGTAATGGAGCCTGACCTCCTCGTAAAGGGGCTGGGGGCTCAGACCTTGGAGACAGGCCAGCTGGGAAGATGGGACAATGCAGCATGAAAGAAAGGACATGAATATTCAAGCATGGCCAGTTCTGGGAGTTCCTGGCCCTGAAGGGACTGCTGACTACCCCCTCCCACTCCACAGAGAGCAGACAGAACTAAGCAGATGGCACAGAGCCCTTGAAATTCCCAGTATCAAATCGAAAGAAGTTTAGAGCTCAGAGTTGACTCAGACCCAAGAAAAGGGTTAGATTCCCACTAACCTGGCTGCTCAGCCTCCTTTCCCCATCCCCAAGTCCTTCTCCATGGGCTTCTCCAGAGACAACAGCAGGAAATGCCCTGTGCACACCATCTTTAATCATCATCCAGTTTACCATCAACAGGAAAGTGCATGTCAAAAGAAGATATTTCTCCCAAATATACCCTGTATGCTATTGGTAAAAGCCAGAGTTCATATCTGGCCCTCTGAGACTACATTTACCACTTGCCCCAATAAGTGGGCAGGGGCTTCAAGCAAGACATTGAGGTAAAGCTGAGATGTGTGCATGCTTGCAAATAACAGAGAAAATTATACATATATATATACATACATATATATGTATGTACACACACACACACATACACACACACACACACACATATAGAGAGAGAGAGAGGAAGAACAGAGTTGGGCTCAAATGACAAACTTTACTTTTAGAGACAGAGAAACAAGTAAAATTTCTTAGGGACTGGGTGTTGGTACAGCTGCCCTGAAGGAAGCTGTGAGTCAGGGGTTAAAGGGTAGCACACTTCTGTCTCCTAGGTTAGCTTGCTTGCTTTAATCTGCTCTTTCTTATTTTTCAATCCTTTCTTCACTCTCACCCCACGATCAAAATCTCTCTGCACCATAGACCATCCCCTTGGGCTGGCAATTCCTTTGAAATATAGTTCTCACTCAGGTATGGCTGCCTTCCCAAGGCTTTCTTTACATGAGTCTTCATGGCCTTTATTGCATGAATAGTGGCAGCTTGTCAGGCATGGCCGCAACCTGGCTCAGACACACAGCTAAGTCCCATGGTGGACACACAGGGCAATCACAGTGACTCACCAAAACTGTCTTTGAAAACTCTATCTCAGCCAGGTATTGGTGGCACACGCCTTTAATCCCAGCTCTCAGGAGGCAGAGGCAGGCAGATCTTTGTGTGTTCAAGGCCAGCCTGCTCTACAGAACGAGTTCCGGAACAGGCTCCAAAGCAATACAGAGAAACCCTGTCTCGACCCCCCCCCAAAAAAAAGAAAGGAAGGAAGGAAGAAAATTCCTCCCTTAAGTAGAGTAAAGGTTTGGCAGCCTGTATAGACAGCAGGCCATATGTAAAAATTCAAGTCTTTATACACAGATGTTCACAGTGAGACAACTGCCTCTACTGTGTTTCCTTGTACTTGTCCCCCTTTGCCTTGTGTCTGTCATGTTTCTGAGTCTGTAAAGTGAGTCCCTGACACCCTTCCTTCCTCTCTGATACCTTTGGTTATGGGTGCCAAGGTGTCCTCCAGTCTCCATGACATGCACGCACGCACGCACGAGCACACACACACACACACACACACACACACACACTTAAGACAATCCCACTTGCCATCTTGCCTGGCTCATTAGAAGAGACATCTATAGCCCCTTTCCCTCAAGAGTTTCTTCAAGAGATAAGCTAATGACTCTGGATTCCCCTGGACTCAGGAAACCTGAAGGGGGACAAACAGGTTCCACCTACCCTGCAACCACCTGCCTCCTCCTATACAGAAGAAAATGGGTTGAAAGGCTGTGGATGCCGTGGACCAGCTGCCCATCTCCCAACAGGCCACCCGCCCACTCTGTTCTCCTTTCCTCTGTCCCCGGCAGGAGCTGCAGCACTAGGAAGTCAGGTTCCCACTTCTGCACTTGGCTCACGGGGAGCACGGACTGCGCCTCACATCTCCCTCGGTGCATGAGAGGAGCAGCATGGAGGCTCTTGGTTGCTCCCCTCCTCTGAAGCACTGTGCTCCTCCACACAGCTCCATGAGTGGCCAAATCGTCCCAGCAGCAACTTCTTCCACCCCACCTGGGCTCAGATCTGCCTTTCATGCTGTGTAAGATGGGCCGCTTCTGACCTCAGGACTCAGTGT